CATTTCACCACAATGAAAGCGTTTTAAAGCCTCTCAAAATTGATTGTCCTCAGCATCCAACACAAAACGTTCCAGTGCATTCTGAGTCACTTTGTTATGGGAATATTGTGAGTGCCCCACTATGGATCAGAAGTGGCACTTGTAGTTTTGGAAATATCCATCCACAACAAAGCATCTTCCTCTCCAACGAGTGAATTGCATATTCTACATTTTTTCAATGATCCGATGTTTGAAGATAATTCTGTTTACAGAATGATCTGCTGGGACAATTTCAAAAAAGTGATGAATAGGGTCCAAGCTAGGTACAATACCATAAGAAATAAACGTAGGGTATCCAAAGCTAATGTCCCTGGGTTACTAAGGACATTGATGAGTAAATAAGGAAGAAAAAGGAGGCATATGATGCATACCGAGATAGTAACAGAAATCAGTAAGAGTATCTCAAATGCAGGAGACAGGCTAAGGCTGGGATAAGGAAGGTTAAGAGGAAGGGATGGCAGGCTGTTCCAAAACAAAGCAAAATGCTCCTCAATTAAAATAATAGTAAAAGATTAAAGAAGGATAGAGTGGCACCCATAACAAACAAGCAGGGTAAGCTGCGCATTGAATTAAAGGGTATGGCAGAGGTACTGAATGAGTACTTTGTTTCTGTCTTTAACAAATTAGAAAATGGTGACAATAGCCTCCGAGAAAATGTCAGTGTTGAACAACTGAGCAGTATAGAATTAGGTAAAGAAGTGAAAAAAATTCTGGCAGCACTCGAGGTAAAGAAGATTTAGGGAGTGATACCAGAAATGAAGGATATAAAATAAAAGGATAGATTAGAGAAATTGAGTTTATTCTCCTTGGAGCAGAGAAAATTAAGAGGTGACCTTACTGAAGTGTTCAAAATCATGAATAATTTTGAAAAGGTAAAGAAGGAGATACTGTTTCCACTAGTTGGTATGTCAGTAACTACAGGTCACAATTCAAGACTGTTAACAAGAGAGCTGGGAGTGTGATGAGGAGAAACTTCTTTACTCAGAGTTGTTAAGATTTGAAATGCACTGCCTGGGAAAGTGGTGCAGGCTGATTCCAAAGGAGATTTCAAAAGAGAGCTGGATATATATCTGAAAATGATTAATTTAGAAGACTACAGAGATGGGGCTGGAGAATGGGACTAGCTGAATAGCTCTTTCAGTAGCCAGTACAGACACAATGGGCCGAATGGCCTTCTTCTGTTCTGTAAAATTCTGTGATCATATTATTCAAATTCATGTTGTCCATCAGAAACACCACGAAAACACAAAGCCGGATGACGCAATGCAGATGTATGCAGCTTTTGACGCTCCTATGGCTTCAGGTGGTGTATTTTGGTCCTGTTTTTTTTTTAGAAACGAAGAGAAGTTGAGACAGAGGTAATGTGCGGTCTGCTCAATGCCAATAAAGTAAACAGTTTGCGAGGCCTTGGGTTTTTTTTTCCCCCCAGTTGGAACAATAGAAGCAGCCTGAATGGGTGGGTTCAAGCTTCCACAGAACCAGGACTTTTAGTTTCAGCTTTCTGCAGCTGCTGGGGTCTTGAAGCTCAATGTGGAAGCTCTTATTCCTCTCTATTACAGCTAAAAGCTGGGGTGTGCTCTTCCTACTGCGAGAATTGCACGTGAGATAATCTGTTTTACTGAATTTGCCTTTACCAAGGGTGTTTTATGGGATGTTATTATATTGGAGCAGTTAATTAGTAATAGTTAATAAATATATTGTTTTGTTAAACATTTCAATAGAGTTACAGTTAAGCTAATTCTTTTCTTTTATTTTCATTCTGTCTGTATTTTAACTGAAGTGCAAAAATAAAGTTTGTTTTTCTTAAAGTCAAGTAGTTTGACCAATCCAACTGCCTCTGGAATGCAATGCCTTATACTTACCTTTAAAATACGGAAAAGTTAGGGTGCAGACATTCTTCTTAATATATTTTGAGGGGATTTGGTCTGGTCCATAACAAGCTGAACCTCATCACTGCTTCCCTCAATTCTTCTACTGCCCCTAAATTGCCAGACGAATTATTCAACATTCAGTGTTGCATGAGCAGAAATTTCCTCCAGTTAAATATTGGGAAGACCAAAAGCATTGGCTTCAGTCCCCACCAATTCTATTCTCCTCCATGGCAAGTGTCTCAGGTTGAGTCAAAGTGTTTGCAATCTCAGTGTCAGATTTGACATCATATTGAGCATTCTCCCACTCATCACTCATCAAATCTATTTGTAGCTTGGGCCTACCACTCTTGGTAAATTCCTACAATGCTCGTGTTCAATTCCACCCTCAGGTGACTGTGTGTGTAGAGTTTGCACATTCTCCCCATGTCTGTGTGGACTTCCCCCGGGTGCTCCGGTTTCCTCCCACAGTCCAAAGATGTGCGGGTTAGGTGGATTGGCCATGCTAAATTGCCAACAGTGTTCAGGAATGTGTAGATTAGATGGGTTAGCCATGGAAAATGCAGGGTTACAGGGAAAGGGTAGAGGGATAGGGATGGGGATGGGTGGGATGCTCTTTGGAGGGTTGGTGTGGACTTGTTGGGCCAAAGGGCCTGTTTCCACACTGTAGGGATTCTGTGATATCTGTTCTCGTTTAATTCAGGCCACTTGAGAAACTCCAAATAAAATCTCTCCACAAGTGGTGACCATACCTTTAGTTGCCTAGCCACGAGGCTCTGGAATTCTTCATAAACTCCTCGCCTCTTTTCTCCTTGAAGTAGCTCCTCAAAACCTACCTCTTTGTTCAACCTTTTGTTATCTGCTCTCTCATTTTCTGTTTTAAAATGTTTCTGATGTGTCTTGGAATGTTATGTTCTATGACATTTAAGAGATTAAAGAAATAAAAGTTGCAGATGAAATCTGTACAACCAAGAAACATACAGCGCATACCATAGAAGTGTAACACGGACATTAAGAGTATGGTATATGATTGTGAGAAATCCAGTTTCCTTCCTCAGTAATGAATGTCAGCACACAATGTGGGCAAGCTAGTGAGTTTTATCTACCTTCAAACAAACACCATCCTCACCTGTTAGCAGGTTAAAAAACTGACAGGCAAAATAGTGTCTTCAATTGGCTGCAGACTTTAAACCATCATTGCAGCTTTTATTATTAGGACTGCGATGGCATTACCATTTCTAAGCTTTCCTGCCACTTCCTGCATTTTTGCAGTATGAAGTGCAATGAAAGATCCAAGCTAAATTGCAAACATACTAATTCATATGAAGTTTAAGCAAGTGTTTGCTACCCTCACAACTACAAAGCAGACAGTTCTCACCAGGCAGTTGCAGTACCTGGGACATCACTGCCAGAGATGCCATTGGCAGCATCCTGCATGAAATATTAGTACTATTCATGCTACCAAGCAATTAAAATCTATTTTAACAACTGCAGAACCAAGAAAATACGTTCTTTTTCAAATACTTGTCTCACTTCAAACGTGTCTGTCATTTTACAGAGCGGGTGGGATAGCCATCAAGCCAGGCTCCAGAGTGGGGCCTATAATCTACATTTGAAATGTCATTTGTTTTCTGGGTGACACAGCAACAATGCTCGCACAGTGGCTCAGTGGTTAGCGCTGCTGCATCACAGTGCCAGGACCCCTGGTTCAATTCCACGTCAGGCAACTGTCTGTGTGGAGTCTGCACATTCTCCCTATGTCAGTGCAAGTTTCCTCCTGGTGCTCCAATTTCCTCCCACAGTCCAAAGCTGTGCAGGCTAGGTGGATTGGTCGTGCTAAATTGCCCACTGTGTTCAGGGACGTGAAGGCTAGGTACATTAGCATGGGAAATGGAGGGTTACAGGGATGGAGTAGGGGGTTGGGTTTAGGTGGGTTGTTCTTCGGACGGTCGGCAAGGACTTGATGGGCTTAATGGTCTGCTTCCACACTGTAGTGATCTTATCTAAAATTGATCATGAACATATTGATAACATGTGGAGTGAGTTTTTTCTCAGCATTAAGCCTTCTCAGTAACTTGATGGTAAAGGGAGGAGCATCAATGCATCCAGCGAGCAATGCCACATACTACCCATTATCAAGTACTGAATTAAATGCCATTACAGACTACCTGCCAAAAGTATGCTGCTCACCATTGCTTTTAGTGAGCAAGAAACTCCTGCTCAATAAAACCATTTGCAAACACGAAGAGCGAGTCCGAAGGGTCGAGGCCCGAAACGTCAGCCCTCCTGCTCGACCTGCTGTGTTCATCCAGCTCTACACCTTGTTAACACGGTATCAGTTTACGTACTAAAAAGATACAGTTATGATTGCAGTTCTCCTGCAGAATTATAAATTTACTTAAAATGTAAGAATAACTTTTAACAGAGTTGAAATGCTTTACCTCAATCACAACGGATCAATACAGAAACTGTGTTACGAATTGTAAGATTAAAAAAAGTAAGATTGTAACTCAATGTTAGTAAAAGTATAGCTTAATGTGCAATGTGTCTGAACAGGCAAAGTGAATAATGACAAACTTAACAAGCTAGACAGAGGATGCATTTTAAAACCAATTGAAGTTACGTAGCACTGACTGAGACAAATGGGGGATGCAGGAGGCCAATCAAAATAGCATTCAGTCCTATCAAGTGCACAATTTTAAAATCCAATTCAGTGGTCACTGACCAACGACACAAATGACAATAGCAGCAAAACCAAGCGGCAAACAGTGCACTGTGTGTATATGCAGAAAGAATTGCTTTGCTCCATGAACTCAGCAATTTTGCCATGAGGAACTCCTGAAAATCTTAACAGTTCTCAGACCTTTTGTCAAAACTCAATCAACCACATTTTACAACAAAAAAGATGTTTACTAGGATTTTCATCTTTATATTCCCCTGTGCCCAAGATAAAATGTTCAGATTAAGAACCTCAAAAATATGACTAATGAATTCAAATTGACTGTACTTGCTTGGTTAAACAGAAAACTGATGGGGAAATTGCTTTTATATCAATTCAAATAGAAACAATAAATATTTTGTAAAGACACTCACCAACAGTCATGGTTTCTGGAACAGTAGAAGTTGGCAAAAGACCACTAACAACATCGACCTGAAGTGGAGGAGCAGCTTCAGAACTGTGGAGAGACAAAACAAACCTCAGGAGAAGAAAATTTTTTGGAAAATATGATAGAAATAAATTAATCACTTCGTCACCATCAATATTCTTCAGAAAACTGGTGTTTGATGTTATTACAAATAACAGAACATTTCTGGAAAAAAACATATCAATATAATCAAAGACAAATGTCATTTAATCCTCACCTATATTGATGCTGGGATCCTTTCTGGGCAAGTTCGACAGCTAGAATGACATTGTCATGTTCATCACAGCACACCAGATTATCAGAAGTGGCATCTGCAACATATGTAGCTTACATTACTTAGCTCAACAAGCTAATTTGGCACACCCAAAACACAAACAGCTCAATTTTTGACAAAGGTTAAAGGGTTCTGTTCTTGAAACAAAGCTTAATGTTCTGTCCAATTCCACATTCAACCTGACCCCCATTCCAAAGTTATGAGATTAGTGGTTAATTACTTATGATTATCCTTCTGCTAACTGCATAGGATTGTGAAAATATTATGCACATTGCCCCAGTTATTTTCTGTGGATGTAAGTTTGATTCCCAGCTGTAGTTCTGAAACACCACTTATAGTTACCAATTAAAGAAAGCCAAAGGAATAAAGAATAGACAAAAGCGTTATTTTTGTTTTAACTATGACGCATGGGTCTAAATTGAAACCCTATCAAAAAATGTTTTCCCTGAAATCTTCTGAATTTAGCTGCCTTGTCAGTATATCGAAGAATTCTATCCTTTATTAGAAGACCATTTTCAGGGAGTCTTCATGTTTACGAGGCATCACATCTGTGCAAAAGGGACAAAAGAATACTGCAACTTCCCCTAACCAACCATGCACGTGTAATTGCACTGCAGTATTTCAGGTTAGCCAACGAAAGCAACTCTTGATAAGTGTCGTCAAGTTGACAAAATAACAAGGTTGAAGGAAAAATACTGAAAAAAATTCTCAACAGGCAAGTAACTCTGCTCTGCAAAAGAGCAAACAATATGAAGAAAATGTGAGTGCAGAGATATTAGGAACTGCAGATGCTGGAGAATCTGAGATAACAAGGTGTAGAGCTGGATGAACACAGCAGGCCAAGCAGCATCAGAGGAGCACGAAGGCTGACGTTTCGGGCCTCGACCCTTCTTCAGAAATGTTTTCTTCAGTTTTCTGAAGAAGGGTCTAGGCCTGAAACGTCAGCCTTCGTGCTCCTCTGATGCTGCTTGGCCTGCTGTGTTCATCCAGCTCTACACCTTGTTATCTCAAAATGTGAGCGCAGTTTGCCTTGCAACAGAGTGTCATACTTTAGTGAGGCACCAGGGGGTGCTAAAGGTAAAGAAAGAATAAGCATAAGCTTCCATATACAGTACCTACCAGACTGAGAATAGGAACCAACTGCCATTACTGGAAAAAGAATGTCAGAACTGTCATTGTCATTTAGGACTTGAAGGGTATTCCAGCTGGACATTTGAGAGACGGATAAGTTTTGCACAAGAGATCTGCAAGATTAAAAATAGGCAATATGATTACTACAGAGGATTAACTCGGATTACATAGAACACACATCACAGGAACAAACCAGTCGATGTCAGTGTTTATGCTCAAAACAAGCCAACTTCTATCTTTGTTATCTCAATCTACCATCATAATCATCTTCTTCATCATGTTTATCTACTGTCCATTTAAATGCATGCTATAAACTTAGAATTTTCCACACTTTTATACAACAAAATAAGTGACTTCTTTTATAAATGGTTAGTTGCTTTTCTATTGCTCCCAAAGTTGGAAATACAACACACAAAATAGGTGCAGGAGTAGGCCATTCGGCCCTTCAAACCTGCACCACCATTCAATACGATTATGGCTGATCATGCAATCTCAGTATCCCATTCCGGTCCTCTCTACGTACCCCTAGACCCTTTAGCTGCAAGGCCATATCCAGCTCCCTCTTGAATATATCTAATGGACTGGACCCAACAGCTTCCTGTGGGAAAGAATTCCGTAAGTTCAAATTCTCTGAATGAAGAAATTCTTCCTTATCTCAGTACAGAATGGCCTACCCTTTAGTCTTAGATTGTGACCTCTTGTTCTGGACTTCCCCAACAGTAGGAACGTTCTTGTCGCATCTAGCCTGTCCAGTCCTGTCAGAATTTTATATGTTTCTGTGAGATACCCCCCTCATTCTTCTAAATTCCAGCAAAAACAAGGCCAGAAGATCTAGTCTTTCATCATATGTCAATCCTGCCATCCCGAGAATCAGTCTGGTGAACATTCGCTGGACTCCCTCAATAACACGAATGTCCTTCCTCAGACTAGGAGACTAAAATCACACACAATACTCAAGGTGTAGCCTCACCAAGGTCCTGTGTAACTGCAGCAAGACATCCTTACTCCGATACTCAAATCCTCTCGCTATGAAGGCCAGCATGCCATGAGCTTTCCTCACTGCCTGCTGCACCTGCATGCCAACCTTCAGTGACTGTTCCACCATGACACCCAGGTTTTGTTGCACCTCACCTTTTCCTAAACTGCCACCATTCAGGTAATAATCTGCCTTCCTGTTTTTGCCACCAAAGTAGATAACCTCACACTTATCCACATTGTACAGCATTTGCCAAGTATTTGCCCCCTCAGCCAGTCTGTCCAAGTCACCCTGCAGCCTCTTAGCTTCCTCCTCACAGCACGCAGTGCCACTCAGCTTAGTGTCATCTGCACATTTGGAGATATTGCATTCAATTCCTTCGTTCAAGTCGTTAATGTACATTGTCAACAGTTGGGGTCCCAGCACTGAACCCTGCGGCACCCCACTTGTCACTGCCTGCCCTTCTGAAAAGGATCCATTTATTCCAACTCTCTGCTTCCTGTTTGCCAACCAGTTCTCTATCCACGTCAATACATTACCTTCGATACCATGAGCTTTATCTTTCCTTACTAATCTCTTGCGTGGAATCTTGTCAAAAGCCTTTTCAAAGTACAGATACACAACATCTACTGATTCACCATTATCTACTTGACTGGTCACATCCTCAACAAATTCCAGAAGATTTGTCAAGCATGATTTTGGTTGGCATGAACCAATTTGGATAGAAAGGCCTGTCTCCATGCTATAGGGCTCTATGACTCTATGATTTCCCTTCAGTGAATCCATGCTGATGAGGACCAATTTTGTCCCTCCTTTCCAAATGCTCAGTTATTACATCCTTAATGATTGACTCCAGCATTTTCCCCACCACCAATGTCAGGCTAACCAGCCTATAATTCCCCATTTTCTCTCTCCCTCCTTTTTTTTTTGAAAAGAAGAGTAAAGTTACATTTGCTATCCTCCAGTCTATTGGAACTCTTCCAGAGTCTACGGAACGATGGAAAATGATCACCAATGCATCTGCGATTTCAAGGGCCACTTCCTTAAGTACTCTGGGATGCAGATGACTTATTGTGTTTTAATCCCATCAATTTCCCCAATACCATTTCCTGAGTAATAACAATTTCCTTACAAAACTAAAACTATAATATTTCTCAAGATTAATTTTTCTCCTTAATTCTTTCACATGGGCTCTTCAGCATATCAGATAATTCACTTTGGATAATCAGCGTCTACCTTGCATTTTACCCTGACATTAGATGTTCAAGTTTTGCAAGGATTTACCAAAGTGCAACTATACTCATTCGGCATGTATGATCAAGGTCTGTTGTCTACTTAAAAATTGTGACAATGCTGTCACTTTAAAAAGGTTATTTTTTGGAGAGGTTGTAAAGCAGAGGTGTCGAAGAGCCTAGGGACCAACAGTTTAACAATGGAAGGGGAGTGGCCAGTTCTCCCAGTTCAGGTTTTTAATCACCTCCATTTCTGAAGAAGGGTCTAGGCCCGAAACGTCAGCCTTCCTGCTCGACCTGCTGTGTTCATCCAGCTGTACACCTTGTTATCTCAGATTCTCCAGCATCTGCAGTTTCTACTACCTCTGAAACAGGTTTTTATCAGTTTATTTTTAAAAGCTGTAGCAGTCACAAGATGTGATAACAAGGTGTAGAGCTGGATGAACACAGCAGGCCAAGCAGCATCAGAGGAGGAGGAAAGCTGAAAGTTTTTTTGAAGGGTCTCGACCCGAAATGTCAGCCTTCCTGCTCGGCCTGCTGTGTTCATCCAGCTCTACACCTTGTTATCTCAGATTCTCCAGCATCGGCAGTTCCTACTATCTCCGCAGTTATAAGATGTTGTGAGTACCAGAGGTGTTGCAAGCCTCAGTAAAGGATTCCTGACTGACTTTCTCTAGATATTGTTCCTTCCTGCCTGTAAGAATCTGTGTTTCAATCTACCTTTTTGCCAAGGGGTATATTTATGTGATGTCACTGTATTGGAACAGTTAATTTATAATAGTTGCTATATCGGGTAAGTTTTCCAATAGTTAAATTATTCTAAATTCCGCTTTCCTTTGGTTGTGTTTTAACTGTAGCATTTAAATATATTGTGTTTTGCTTAAAGCCAAGTGGTTTGACCAGTTACATCACACCTAGAACACCCACTTCACATCTACCTTTAAAGAAAGAACAAGTTAGGGTCTAGGCTACATTCTTAAAATATTTTGAGGGGGTCTGGCCTGGTCCATAAGAAATTTAAAAGTCTTTCCTCAAAATTATGGGAGATTTCAATGAAGTAGAGAATGAAGTGTGTTGCTACTTGAAGGGAAGAGCAAATCTAGGTGTTATTAACATAAGATAGTCACCAATAAATTAGACAGGGAATTCACAAGAAACCTCCTTCATCACAGAATCTTCATCAACTGTCCCTTGATTTGAGGATCATAACTATTCAGAGTGTTCTCATTGGAAAATGACTTCAGCACATGTAAAGAGACACTTTTGAGAATCTTGGGGCACAGTGTCCTTACCTTGATCAGATGATCTGGGTTCATGTCCCACCTGTCTCAGAGGCATGTTGTGACATGTCCCAATAAGTTGATTAGAAAGTCCTTCTCTTAACTAAAAAAAATACTTTGCCTCCTTAAAGGCTCTCAACTACTTCTTAATTGAATTTTGCTCTTTTGATTTTTCCCTGAGCATGAAGAGACAGGTAGGGCATGATTTTTTCCTCCTGAGGTCATGAGAAGGGATACCAATTGGGTGAGTTTCCTGAAAGAGGTAATAAGTGCTGGGTGAGAAGATACATGGGCGATCTTCTCAACTCTCCACCAACTGTGGGCCTTACTGAATAATTAGGGTGGCCTAATTCTGCTTCTATATCTTATGGTCTAATTTATTAGATTTTAAGTCAGAAGGAGAAACAGAATTCTGATAATTGTATAAATTAAGGTTAAGTGAAGAATTAAGGTACGCTTAATGATAGTGCTAATAACAGCTAAGTTAACAGAAACTCCAAAGACTGGCACAGAGTTACACACAGCTATAGATGCATTGCACCTGCTTTCCATATACTGTGCAGCAGAATGATACTGCAGTGAATGGAGTAAGTCATGAAAAATATTTCTGCTGATATACACAATTATTATTTAAAAATCAGAAAAATACCCTGATATATTGAAAAATTCTAACTAAACCTACATAATTTATGGATGGATATCCCAAATTGCAACAACCTTAATTCTTTTTCAATAGAGTTTATCACCATCAATCTGACATTTCAAATGTCCTCTGCAAGAAAAAGGCCAAAGACAAAATGTCAGGATTACTATTTCAAAAAGTTAAAATTCTGACAGTAAATACTTACAGTACAGCTAACACACAAGGTTTTTCTACGCTGTATTGTTCAGTGTAGGACACATTTTTGTGCCCAAGACAAAAAAAACACAGGAATTTGTGAGGAAGTGTAGGAAAGTCAACCACTTTGAACCGGTTGATGATTTTGACTCACTGTCTCCCACTTCCTAACCCTTCATTAGCCAAGACAGTATGGTTTCCACAATTCCACATACTTTCACGATTGCAAACAGTCACTTCTGTGGAACCTCAGTGAATGTGTTCTGGAAGTCCAAATAATTAACACCTACAGGCATGTTTTATCTACCATAACAGTTGCACCATCAAAAAATGTAACTTACTAATTGTTGCATTCTCTATCAATCAATATCCACTTGACACCAATTCAGAATTCTTTTCTCATTCAGAACAATTGTTTACCCCCTTACATTCACATTCTTGTGTATTGTCCTGATCAGTGAAAGGTGAAAAGTTTGATAAAATGTATCTTTAGTTCAGCAATTCTTAAGTTTTGTACTGCTGAACAACTATTTACATACATCTTAATAAAATATCTCTGGCCTCAAATTCCAAATTTAATTGTTCAATTCCCACAATCATCCACTGTTTTTCCCAATTAAACAAATGGGAAAAATAGAACAGTCAATGTAATCGACTCACTGGGGTCACAAGTTCGAGGATAAGGGGTTTTAGGACTGAGATGAGGAAATTTCTTCACCCAAAGTGGTGAACATGTGGAATTCACTACCACCAAAGTGGTTAAGGCCAAAACATTATATGTTTTCAAGAAAGAGGTAGATATAGTTGTTGTGGCTGAAGGGATCAAGGGATATTGGGCAGGCAGCTGGGGTATTGGTGGAAATGATGGTTGGCAGGGATTAGGGTATTGAGCTCGATGATCAACCATGGTCATATTTAATGTGAAGCAGACTTGAGTCGTCAAATGGCCGACTCCTGCTCCTATCTTCTATGTTTCTATATGTCTGAAGAGGCAAAAATATGTGAAAAGAAAATACCTGCGTTATTAGCTGACAAAAATAGATAAAAGGTCATCAAAATACTTTGTTTAGCTATCTACTATGGTCCTGTTGATGAACAGTATGACATCCTAGTAGAACATAAGGAAGGAGTTAAAGTGCCCCAGAATCTATTGTACCCAGCTCCATCTATTATTTTGTTCTTCACAAACCGACTCCACATTAAAAAGCCACCTTGTGTTCATTTTTTGAGGATATGTGTATCTGTTTCTCTCAAATAATTGAGTTTTATCAATTGCATTAATTCATAGTTGAGAAAATGATTGGAGGCCTCCAACAAGACCACGCAAATCAGCACAAGAGAAATACTAACTGTAATCGAAGGTAATTCTCATCAATTGCATTGTGAAAAAAGGAAAATATGCACCATATTTCGCTTTAGAAAAAAACTGGCAAAGGGAGCATTCTAATTTTAAACACTCACTGTTCAGAATCAGGTCTGCCCTCCTCATTCTCTCTACTTTGAGAGATCTTTTGGTATATGTGCTCTCTATCTACAACTTCATCATCATCATCGTCATCGTCATCATCAATACTTTTCATATCTAGCTTCTTGTGATTGGAATCACCATTAAGGCAAACGTCCACAGTTTTCAAGATACTGCTGTTGGATTGCTTTTCATTTGAATCTGGTTTTCTATTCAAATCTGGACTAAAAGAAGCTAAAATCATGGAGGAATCCATGGCTGAAGAAACAGCTGAAGAGGATCTTTCTGAATTTTCCTCGGAGCTTTCTCTCGTTAAATCTGAAGTTTTCACTTGCTCGGCACAGCTTTGCTCCTCCTCCTCATTGTCTCCATCAAACGAGATGATATTTGGCACCATTTTCTTTTTTTTCTTTTCTCTTTTACTTTTTCCATCTATTGAAGAAAAACAAAATCCAGAATTAATTGAGTAATGATTGAGTAATAATTCCACATCAAACAGATGTTCACCTGCACATCTGCTAATGTGGTATACTGTATCCACTGTTCCCGATTTGGCTTCCTCTACATCAGGGAAACCAAACGGAGACTTGGGGACCGCTTTGTGGAACACCTACGCTCGGTTCACAACAAACAACTGCACCTCCCAGTCGCAAACCATTTCAACTCCCCCTCCCACTCCTTGAACGACATGTCAATCCTGGGCCTCCTGCAGTGCCACAATGATGCCACCTGAAGGTTGCAGGAACAGCATCTCATATTTCGCTTGGGAACCCTGCAGCCCAATGGTATCAATGTGGACTTCACAAGCTTCAAAATCTCCCCTTCCCCAAACGCATCCCAAAACGAGCCCAGCTCGTATCTGCCTCCCTAACCTGTCCTCCCACCTATCCACTCCTCCCACCTCAAGCCCCACCCCCACCTCCGACCTACGAGCCTCATCCTGCCTCCTTGACTTGTCTGTCCTCCCTGGACCGACCTATCCCCTCCCTAACTCCCTACCTGCACTCACCTTTACTGGCTTGAACCCAGCCTCCTCGACCTGCCTGTCTCCTCTCCACCTATCTTCTCCTTTATCCATCTTCTATCCGCCTCCCCCTTTCTCCCTATTTATTTCAGAATCCCCTTCCCCTCCCCATTTCTGAAGAAGGGTCTCGACCCGAAACGTCAGCCTTCCTGCTCGGCCTGCTGTGTTCATCCAGCTCTACAACTTGTTATCTCAGATTCTCCAGCATCGGCAGTTCCTACTATCTCCAGAATTAATTGGCATGTTTTACCACTCCAAGGAAGAAGTACTATGACTGAAGTTAATCTGTTTTTTTTAATCACTCATTTTGATTATATTTTGTGCCACTAAATACCTCAGGAGTTTTTCCTGGAAGTGCCAATGTTTTACTACAACACAGATATATCCACATGAAATGCTTCGAAATGCACTCACTTCTTCCAGATAATTTCAAATAAAATTGTCCAAATGAGCGAAACTGAAACTTTCTACGGACTGCTGTCATCGGGCTCTTGTTATTTGTGGCATATATCAATCATTTTTAAATAAAACATAACGGACATATTTAAGTAGACGGCAGATTATTTAAAATTAGAACATTTGGTTTATGATCAGGAAGATATCAATGGACTGCACCTAGGATTAACAGTGGCAAACAGAATTCAATCTAGAATCAGATTTGAGGTAATAAATAATAGAAGGAAGAGTAAAGCATTGGACTGCATGTTCATGGTTCCATGAAGATAACAGGACAGAGAGATTAGGTATTTAAGAAGGCAAGTGGGATACTTTCCATGACTGGCCGAAGCACACTGTATAAAAGCATAACATGTAAAACAATTAAGTTACGCCAGAACTGTATTAAACACTCGTTAGACCACAGCTGGAGTACTACTAACATCATGATGTCATCACAACAAAGGAATGATGTGTCTACAGAGGATTTTCACGAGGTTGTTGCCTGAAATAGATGATATTAGCAATGAGGCAAGAATGAATTGGCTGAGACTGTTTTCTTTGGAACAGAGGCAGCAGATGGAGAATTACTTGAAGTATATAAAACTATCAGGAGCCTCGATACAGTGGATAAAAGGAGTCTATGTTCCACCTGACAAGGGAGCAGTTCTCAGAAAGCTTGTGATTTCAAATAAGCATGTTGGATTATAACCTGGTTTTGCAAGACTTCTGGCTTTTCCATCCCAGTCCAACACCGGCACCTCCACATCATCCTTAATAGCAAGAAAAGTCAATAATCAAATGGCATAGAATTAAAGTAATTTCCCATTAATCCTGGCAATTAAGTGTTCTTTTTCATCCAGAAGGTGGTACTCACTGCCTGAAAAGGTCGTAGAGACAAAAACCCTCATTGCATTTAAAACATCCTTTAAAAGGTACTTGATACACAATAATCTACAGATTTTCAAACAAGATCTGGATGGCAAGATTAATCTGGATAAATACTTTTTGGTCAGCAGAGAACAATGGACCAAATGGCTTCCATTTGTGCTATCAAATTTCTTATTTTTTTTTTGTTAAACAGATTAAAATTTGCCCTGGAGTACAAGTTACACTGTCCTTTCAATTCCAAAACCTTTAACTTCCAACTCTGCTTCAGATTCAAGTATTTTATTTGCACATTCCTCTTTGAAACCTTCCTTCACCATTCCCTAAGTTCACGGGTAAAGTGACATCAGTTAAGTGGGAGGCTTTCAAAAAAGTGTGGTAACTAGAGTTCAGAGTTATTATGTTCCTGTTAGAGTGAAAGGTAAGGCTGGTAGGATTAGTGAACAGTGGATGAATAAAGATATCAAGGTTCCTTGTCAAGAATGAAAAAAGAATCATATATTAGATAGAGACTGCTGGGTTCAAATGAATCTCTTGAACAGTACAAAGAGTGTAGGGGCATTCTTAAGATGGAGATCAGGAAAGCAAAGAGGAGATATGAGATAGCCTTGGCAGATTAGGTTAACGATAATCCAAAGAGATTCTACAAGTACATTAAAAGCAAAAGAGAGAGTAGGGCCCCTTAAAGATCAACGAGGTTGTTTTGTGGTGAACCTCAGGAAATGGGAGAGATATTAAATGAAGATTTTGCATCAGTTTTTTTTTCTGTTGAGAAAGAAATGGAGGCTAGAGAACTCGCAAGAAATAAACAACGATGTTTTGAAAACAGTTCACATTATAGCAGCGGAAGTGTTGAAGATTCATTTCAACCCAGCTGTCTATATCTAATATATGATTCTTTTTTCATGCTTGACAAGGAACCTTGATATTTTATTCATCCACTGTTCACTAATCCTACCAGCCTTACCTTTCACTCTAACAGGAACATAAGTGTCGAAGGTCTTAGAAAATATAAAAGTGGATAAATCTTCAGGAACTGATCTAGTGTATCCCACAACAATTTGGGAAGTTAGAGAGGAAATTGCAGGACCCCTTCCAGAAATATTTGCATTGTCTATAACTACAGGTGAGATGCTGGATGATTAGAGAAGGGCTAATGTTGTGCCTTTGTTTAAGGAGGGATCTGAGAAGAAGCCTGGGAATGATAAACCTGAGTCTGACTTCAGTGATGGGTAAGTTGTTGGAAGTGATTCTGAAAGACAGGATTTACATGCATTTGGAGAGGCCAGGAATGATTAGGGATAGTCAGTCTGGTTTTGAGAGAGAGAAATCATGTCTCACAAATGAAGATTGTTGAGGACAGAGGGGTGGACATTGTTTACTTAGATTTTAGTAAAGTCTTTGACAAGGTTCTTCATGGTGGACTAATTAGTAAAGTCAGATCACATGGGATTCAGGGTGAGCTTGCCAACCAAAAACAAAATTGGCTTAACGGCAGGAGACAGAGTAATGGTGGAGGGTTGTCTTTCAGACTGGAAGCCCGTTACTAGCGGTATTCCAGAGGGATCAGTGATGGGTCCACTTTTGTTTGTCATTTATATAAATGACTTAGGTGAGAAAATAGAAGGCATGGTTAGTAAGTTTACAGATGACACCAAAAATGGCGGATTGTGAAGAAGGTTACCTAAGGTTACAAAAGAGACATCGATCAATTGGGCCAACGGGCTGAAGAGTGGCAGGTGGAGTTTAATTTGGATAAATGTGAGGTCTTGCATTTTGGCAAAACAAACAAGGGCAAGACTTATAAATTAAAAGTAGGTCCTTGGTAGCATTGTAGAACAGAGAGTTATAAGCGTTCAGGCACATAATTCCTTGAAGTTTGCACCACATGTAGACAGGGTGGTTAAGAAGGTGTTTAGCACACTTGCCTTCATTGCTCAGACCTTTGAGTCCAAGAGTTGGGGCGTCATGTTGAGGTTGTACAGGACATTGGTGAGGCCTCTTCTGCAGTTCTGCGTCCACTTTCAGTCGCCCTGAGGGTTCAGAAACAATTTATCTGGATGTTGAGGGAATGGAGGGTTTGAGTTATAAGTACAGGCTGGGACTTCTTTCACTGCAAGGTAGGAGGTTGAGGGGTGACCTTATAGAGGTTTATAAAATCATGAGGGATATAGATAAGGTGAATGGCTTGTGTCTTTTCCCCAGTGTGGGGGATTTCAAGACTAGGGGCACATTTTTAAGATGAGAGGAGAAAAATTTAATAAAGACCTGAAGGCCAACTTTTTTTTTAAAAACAGAGAGTGGTTCATGTGTGGCATCAACTTCCACAAGTGGTGGATGCGGGTACAGCTGCAACATTTGACAGACATTTGGATAAGTACATAAATAACAAATGCTTAGAGGGAAATGGGCCAAATGCAGGCAGGTGGGGCTGGTTTAGTTTGGGATTACAGTCACATGGATGGACTGGTTGAACCGAAGGATCTGATTCCATACTGTGTGACTAAGTGTTTTTTTTTAAGCTTCTACACTTCTTCCCCATTTTATCCTTCCTAATTGACCATACAAGCATTTTACTTTATGCTTAAGTTAGCTTTGCTGCAACATAAACAGAATTCTTTCTCCAGTAGTTAGCAGCTGACTAAGTGATCATTTTCCATGGTCCAAACTGGCATCACAGCTTCCAATCACAACATCTAGGTTCAGCAAAGCACCTGTTACTTTCTCTCTAAGTTTAACATAATCATCAGTCCCTCTCAATCAAACTTAGAATAAATCCTTGTCCACCTATTGTGTCTTAAACTGGAAAAATATGCATATTTTTGTATTCTTTCATCCAACACTTCAACCTTAATTATTTGTAGTGCATACCTGCAGAAACATAATTAAAACAGCAATGTGCATCACACACATGAACTCATAGGTAACAGCTCAGCAGGGTGCAGTGGTTATGTTGATGGACGAGAAACCTGAAGATCAAGTTAAATCTCACCAAGGCAGTCTGAAAATGTGAAGTAAATTTAAGGCCAAGAGAACTTGACAGAAGGTACAATGGAAGGTTTTACAGAGGGTGCAGACAAGGTTTCCAAGAATGTTTCTAGGGACAAGGGAGTTCATGTATGTAACCTGTCAATCTTTACAGCTGGAAATGAAGATCCAGGATTCCACTCGAAGGGCAGAGAATTACTGGCCATGTCATTTATAGAAATAATGCCATCGAAATCACCCAAAGATTTTTTTGTAGCTTTTTTTAGCTATAGTTTTTTTTTAAACTAAATACTGCATATACTTCCTTAATTCACTGGTGGAACATTTTTTTCATAAGGATATGAAAACTGCTATGATGATGCAAATCTTTCACTGCTGAATTCACAGACAACATAATATGAATGGAGTATTACCTAGAAGAATTATTCTATGATACACTGACATTTTTTAATCATTCACAGGAGATAGGTGTTATTGGCAAGGCCAATATTTATTTATTACCCATCCCAAATTTCCTTTAACTGAGTGATTCACTGGACAGAGGGTAATTAAAACAAACAACATTGCTGTGGATCTGGTTTCACATATCATCAGCAAGGAACAGCAAACATCTTTCCCAAAAAGTACATGGGTTTCTTTGACAATCCAGTAGTTTCATGGTCACCATTAGTGATCTTAGCTTTTTATGCGAGCCATGCTTCGATTTGAATTCATCCTGTGATCAATGGTCCAGATTTCTGGATTACCAGTTCAGCAATATATGTACTCTGCTGTCATTCCAATTAATTATCATTCTCATATAAATAATCACTTGTTCAAGAACAATGCTCGCTCAAAATACTTGAAACCTAAACACTGTTTGAGTGCTCCTTAGGGAGGCTGGTTAGCTCAGTTGGCTGAATGGCAAGTTTGTAATGCTGAGTGACACCAACAGCATGGGTTCAATTCCTGTTTGGATGAGGTTACCATGAAGGACTCTCCTTCTCAGCCTCTCCCCTTGTCTAAGGCATGGTGACCCTCAGGTTAAACCAACATGAGTCATATCACTCTCTCTGTCTGTCTCTCTCTCTCTCTGAGAGCAATGCTAGAATCTGGTCAGACTTCACTTTTGGAAGTGATATTATTCTTTAGTGCACTAAGAAGAGGCAATCACAAGCACATGGGACCGTTTTTACAGCTTTGCATGTTAACCATCCATTTTTTCAAACTTGAGACCTCACCTTAGCCATTCTCTTGCTTCTTTGGCCAAAGCACCCTAAACTGAAAATGCCAAAAATATAGTACACATAAAACATATACAGAAAGTAAACAATTCCAAGTAGCTTCAAGAAGGAAATGATACTACAGATAGGATTACAGCTGAAGAAAGCTTTTTACTGGAAACAATAAAGCTTGATCTAAGTAGCAGTCTGGCCTAACACTCTTTCTCTTAAATAGCAACTAAATTTTCCAACAGAAAAGTATTAAAGAAATGACTATACAGATAGTGTAACAAACTTATGAAAAACTAAGATCCATCTGTGCTGTTCCACATATTCCTGGATAATGAAGAATATAACAAGTCCATACAATCAGTTAAACAATGTAACAACATCAGAATTTGTATCCACGCTACTTAAATTGGTCTAAAGGACCAAGGAAAGGCATGAGCTAATTTTTATACATCTTGGAGAGAAACCAAGTGAATAATTATTGTTAACTTTACAATTATAATTTTTAAGGACATTATCATTGTTGTGCTTCAGATGTAAATTACCTTGAGTCACAGTTTTAGACAGAACTGGCAGTCGGTCTGATTCAGGCTCAGGTCGCATGAAACTGGGCACTGCAGAAGCTGTTGTGATTTCTTTCAGGAGCGTGCTAACCCCGTGTGTAGATTCCTTTAACAGGGATGTGACATTTTGCGTGGATTCCTTTAATAGGTTTGCAACTGCAGATACAGGCTTGTTAGGTCCATTCAAATCCTCATTGTCAATGTTGATTGCAAAGAGGATAGAGTTTAACCCTTCAAACAAAATTAAGAGACAAGTTACATATTAATTTTTGACTGGATTCACTTAATTCCTTTTAAATAAAGCTGTATTTCTAGTATAAATCTACATGATAACTTCGAGATTGAGGCCTCAGTATGTTCCTTACAAATCACCGAGTTACATTTTGTGATGTAAAATGTTTGTTAACATAGTGACCAGCACCTCCATCCACTTTAAAAAAAAAAAGGGCAAGTGCTTAGTACAACCAATAGATATCCTTTGGGAATGAACCATTTGTTCTCTAAGTCAATGTGCAAAAACACCTCCGAACCCCAAATAACTCCAAATTTCCTGGAAATGCAAGTAACTGTAAATTTAAGGTGATACAACCACAATGATTTACATCCCCCAAATTACCTTCAATTATGTACTATCAAAGGGAATGAATCTTGGAAATGCCACCAGCTTTCACATAGCAACAAATCAATGCCAAGAAGATAAAAACAGAACTGAAATATATTTCTGAACAACCAATAAATGGAAAATTGAGGTTCATCCTCTGCATTTGCTATGGCCAAAAAAAGTCAGGTACTGGAAGTTAAGTTATTTTCCATATATCCATGTCCAACTGTTTGGAACACTTCTACTTTCTGGCATAACTTGGTTTACAAATAATATGCAACAGCTAAATATCAAAGAAACGACTCACTGTACAAATCTTGCAAGAGGGAATAAACACATTACATTTCAATGATAGTTTCAAATTCTCGTAGGAGGCGATGGCCTCGTGGTATTATCGCTGAACTGTTAAACCAGAGACCCAGATAATGTGCCGGGGACTCGGGTTCGAATCCCACCATGGCAGATGGAGGAATCTGAATTCAATAAATATCTGGAATTAAGAATCTAATGATGACCATGAAGCTATTGTCGTTTGTCAGGCAAAAACCCATCTGGTTCACTAATGTCCTTTAGGGATGGAAACTGCCATCCTTACCTGGTCTGGCCTACATGTGACTCCAGACCCACAGCAATGTGGCTGATTCTTAAGTGCCCTCTGGGCAATTAGGGATGGGCAATAAATACTGGCCTAGCCAGCGATGCCCTCATCTCATTAATAAATAAAGAAAAAAAAATTACAAGTTAAATGCAGGTTTAATTTAAAGAAAAAATTACATTTATACTTCTTTTGCCAATTTATCAAGTACATTCCTAACAGCATAATAAATGGGAGTTGGCCATATGCGCCTTCAAACCTGATCCACCATTTAAATGAAATCATGGCTGATTCAATGACCCTCTTCCCAATTAATTTCTTTTTTATATGTTCATTCATGAAATGTAGGCATCGCTGGCTGGAGCACATTTATTACACATCCCTACTTATCGCTTGAACTGATGGGCTTGCTAGGGCTATTTTAGAGGGCAGATTAAAGTCAACCGCATTACTGTGGATCTGGCATCATGCGCAGGGCAGACCTTGTAAGGATGACAGATTTCCTTTGCTAAAGGGCATTAGCGAACTAGATGGGTTTTTACAACAATCAACAATGGTTTCACGGTCACTCGTAGCCTAGCTTTTATTTTCAGATTTTTGTTGATTCAAATTTCACTACCTGCCACAGTGATATTTGAAACCATGTCCCCAGAGTATTCACGTCTCTGGATTACTAGCTCATGACAATACCACTCTGCCACCACCTCCCAAGTCTCCTCAATTCCCTTGTGCAAAAACCTACTGATCTCAGCTTTGAACATACGCAAAGGCTGAACATTCACAGCTCTCTGGAATGGATAATTCCAAAGATTCATAACCTCAGAGAGAAAAAAAATTCCCTCATCTTAGTTCAAAATGGCCATTCCTTTACCCCGAGACTTGATCTCCAGTTCTATACTCTTCAATCAGGACAATGGCCTCTTAGCATCTACCCTCCCAAAATCTTGTACATTTCAATGAGATCAATTCTTACTCCCCTAGACTCCAGAGAGTACAGGTCCATTCTACTCGAGCTCTCCACATAGGGGTAAGTTTTCATCCAAAGAAACAATCTGATGAAACTTCACTGGAGAAAAGTCAATCCTACCCTAGGTTCAGGGATCAAAACTACACACAGTACTCAACATGTAGCCTCACTGAAAATCTCATACAAGTCCAGCAAGACGACTTCATCCTACTGCACCAAACGCTTTGCAACGAAGGCTGACATATCATGTGATTTGCCCAGCTGAGTGCAGAACACAAGGAACTTGACACTATCCAGGACAAAGCAGTCTACATAATCACTGGCCCAGCAACCACACAAAAACAGTGGCAACAATGTGAACCATATATAAGACACTCTACAACAACTCACCTGCGACCCTTCACAGGACCTTCAAATACCTTAAATTCCAAAGCCCAGAAGGACAAAGGCACTAAATGCACAGATGCATCACCACCCACAAATTTCATCGAAAACCATACACCATCCTGTCTTGGTACTGCATCAATGCTCCTTCACTGTCACTGGCCAAAATCATTACATTGCCTTCCTAACAGCACTTTGGGCGTACTTGAAACAGACAGATATGAGCCATTGAAGAAAGCAGCTCACAATCACCTTCTGAACAATTACGAAGGATGGACAATAGATGCCCACATCGCGTAAAAGATCTTTTTAGAAACTTATCCTTCCTAAAATAATTCAGAACAGAAAGCAGGTTGTAGCACAAGTCAAGGTACACAAGCTGTTTTTTCACCCCGAAACCAGCGCTCCCAACTGTTTTATGATTGCATCGCAAGGAAGCACATAGGAAAAAAGGCTAATTATTACTTTATTTTACAGCAATTTTCAGAATAGATTCTTTTGGATGAAGCCTTGAAATTCCACAAGAATTTATGCATTTCAAACATACAAGTGAGCAAAATAATTTTGCTCTGTACTGCCGCTGATGACAATATTCAGGTCTCTGAAACTGCGTACTTAGTGGGATAGAGTTGTTAAGGCATTGGCATGGTGGTAATGTCACAAGATTGGCAACCTGGAGACACAGGCAAATGTTCTGGAGACACGGTTTAAAATCTCACTAAAACAGGTGGCAAAATTTGAATTCAATAAAAATTGAGTTAAAGTGCCAGTCTAACAGTGACCAAATTACAATGTAAAAGCCCCATCTGGTTCAATAATGTCTATCAGGGAAGGAAATGTGTCGTCCATAAGTGTGGCTCCAGACCCACAGCAATATGCTTGACTCTTAACTGCCTTCTGAAAAGGCCTAGCAAGCCACTCAGACCAATGATAATTAGGCCTGGGTAACAAATGCTGGATTTCTCAGCAGCACCCAGGCACAAAATGACAATAATAGGATGAAACTTACACTATAGCAGAGGAACTAATACTACCTGCAGCTACTTGCTTGGGAAGAAGATGCAAACATTCACGCCAGCAAACAGCAGTGTCATGTTGAATTAACAGCAATGACATCTTAACTCATTTGCTGTTACATGTCAATAGCAACCAAATTGATTCTGCAGTCAGAATATGGTAGGCTTAGGACAACTTTTGGTGTACACTTTTAATAGTTCAATACAGGAGGATATTTTCTTTTGCCAGTTTTAGCCTACTGGAACAATGACCATTTGGACTCAAAGCACTGCCAACTGCTTTTGTTCAATCTCAAACTTGAGCTAATTATTCATCTGGAAGATGGTGAATAAAATAATAAGATAATCTTTGCTGCATAGGTGCCGCAGATAAAATTGTGAAAGATTGTCATTTGATACTTCATAAGTAACCAGAGTATCATTTGGTCACAGTGCACTGGTGTCTCCACTGGTCAAGCAAAGTCAATGACTTGCCGGCACAATGGAGAAATGGCATGTCTGAAACCAGCTGCTCCCAAAGTGAAGCAAGTTCACTGCAGTATGTATAAAAAAGCACTGGTTTCCAAAAGCAAACTAACCAACATGAAGGCAGTCCTGGACAATGCTGTGAAGTTGGCAAGTTTTATGAAAACTCCATCCTTCAATCTCAGAATACTTTTCACTTCATATAATGAGATGGGAGCATGTCGAATAATTGTTCCACATGGAAGTTCGATGGTGGTCACGTGGGAAGGTCTTGGCACATCTCTTTGAACTTTATTATATGACTAAGTTAGTGTTTGCAAATGTCTCATTGCCATTCTCTGGATCAGTTATCAGTTATGGTCTGTCACTAAATTAACTAATTCCAGGGCTTTACAAGTTGTGTACAAGACCTTAAATTCCCAGGACAGAACTGAGTCAAATGTAAAAGTAGCTGGAAACCTAGTGATACATCTTCAGCAATGGTCCCCAAAGACAATACTGGTTTTGCAAGTTTCAAGTAGAGTCTTCAAAACATCTTGGACATACAAACATAAGAAGTAGAAGCAACAGTATGCCATCTGGCCCCTCAAGCCTGCTCTGCCATTCAACAAAATCATTGCTGAACTTTCTCTGGACTCAGTTCCACTTACCTGACTGTTCACCATAACCCTTAATTCCTTTACTGTTCAAAAATCTCTTTGCCTTAAAAACATTCAACGAGGTAGCCTGAACTGCTTCACTGGACAGTGAATTCCACAGATTCACAACTCTTCAGGTGAAGAAGTTCCTCCTCAACTCAGTCCTAAATCTGCTCCCCCTTATTTTGAGGCTATGCACCCCCACAACTTCTAGTTTCACATGCCAATGGAAACAACCTCCCTGCTTCTATCTTATCTATTCCCTTCATAATTTTATATGTTTCCATAAGATCCCCCGTCATTCTTCTAAATTCCAGTTAATATAGTCCCAATCTACTCCATCTGTCCTCATTAGCCAAGCCCCTCAACTCCGGGAATCAATCTAGTGAACCTCCTCTGCACCCATTCCAGCGCCAGTACATCTTTCCTCAAGTAAGGAGACCAAAACTGTACACAGTACTGCAGTTTTGTTTAGAATTCAGAAGGGCTATCTGTCACAGCTTTTGTTAGTATCTGAGATGCTACTTGTAGAGGCCAACTTCAAACCAAACATAAACATAGTATATGATGAAGATACAATGAAAAAGTATTTTTTAAAGCAAAGTTTCCTTCAATATGGTGCAGGACACATGCTTTGTATTGGCTTGGATAGACATTTCACATTTTCAGTGTGCATACTCACTCAAAACAGAGCTCTGAACTGTAAAATTTGAACTGTGAATGATAGATGTTCCCAAGTTTCTTCAAAATAATTCTTTTCACCTTTTTCCCTCATTTCTCTACAAGTCTTCTTTAAGAGCATCAGTAGGCTGCTACTAACATGTTCAGGAATGGTTCAACATACACAAGTCTGGCCTGTGAAAAGACATCACTGCCAAGCTCCTGCATCACTCAATGTCCTTAGATAGAAACTTTATATTGGGGATCACTGGTAAACACAGTAGATATGAGAGCATTGGCTGATTTATTCTTCCATCCTAGAACAAAGATACTGAGATCAACTGTATTATTACACCAATACAACTGGTAGGATTAGGTTAATTTAACTTTCTCTAATCGTACGAGTCCAAGTGATCTCATGTCCCAGGAAGAGCAACTTCAGCGAAACATTTAATAGAAAATGTGCTCATTCTACCAGAGTCCAATATTCCAGCAGTAATATGGCAGGGTAATACAGGTAATTCTCCTATAACGCGATAGTTATGTTTTTGCATGACCTCGCACCATACAAAATTGCGCTATAGGAAATCGCCATAGAAAATCGCTATACCTGTACAGCAGAAAGTTTGTGTTAACCAAACAGCATCCACTATTCATCAATCGCATTACAGCCAATTCACATTATAGCACAACTACTTGTACTTTGGAGAAATGTTACAAGGATTGATGTTATGCCCTCACAAGCATAGAAGGTACTGTAGGTAACCAACAAAATCTTCAGTGATATCTGCAAGGAGTTAAATCTAAATCAAATCAGTAAGATGTCTGAACTAGCACCAAGTAAAAAGTGGCTACAACTTCAGAAATACTCATTTAGTGTCAGAAGGAAGAGTAAAACAGACAACATACAGATATCAATTCACCTAGCTAAATCCTTAATGTGATTGGCCATCAATGCTTTAGCTTTATTGTTATAAATTACAGAGGGTGTAAATTAACAATTATTTTTAAAGCCTGAATTTTACGAGTTAAACAACACCATTTTATAATCCAAATTCAAATAAATGAAGTATTTTTCAGTTCTGTCACAAAAGGCATTCAGACTGCAAAGCTACCAGATCCCAAAGGCACATTACTGCACACAAAAGTTATACCAGGAAAATGTTGAGGTAAGTAATTACAAAGAAGACCTGCATAAAATCTGAACAGCATGAAACAAATGTTTGTGCGAATACTCTTACGTGGTGAATTCTGGGAGTATTTAAAGCTCACTGCACTGCAAACAAGGTCTTGACACACCATTCTGCAGCTAACTATACAGCCTAGTATTTGCATAATTTGTTGAAACTCCATGTATACAACTTGCAAAACAACTTTACTTTTGTGTGTGAATACCAGCGAGACACAAATAATACAGTCACAGCCATTAGAAAACATGCATTGATAGCGTATCTCACCTGCTGCCATCGTAGGAAGCATGCTTGCACGCTCTTCCTCCCTCATAAAGGACCAATCTTCATAGAAGATACTAAAAATTACATGATTCACAAAAAATGATTCCTATGCTCATAAAATACAGCACGTAAGAACAAAGTTGCATTTTAAATCATAAGTAGTCTGTTTAAGTGCTGTGCAGTACTTATATAAATAGGGTCTAAATTCCACAACTGTTCCGTCAGGATCAGTTATTCTTCAGATAAACAAATCAAAAAAAACTGAGCCGTAATGACACTTCAAACACCTGATTATTGACAGTAAAATGACAACTTTGCAACATTTTATAGCAAATAGTTTTGACATAGCTATACATTATACATGTCTAAAATAATTAACACCATGGAAATAGTTCATGGCAAAAATATATCTTCAAAACTAATTCCCAAAACCAGGGCAGGTGGTTTCAAGCAGCTTAACAAAAATATAAATTGACAGAACTGCAACATTCCCCGGTAGTATTATGAAGAACAGACTGTAATTCAGATGTCCAAAATTTCCCAAAGGCAAGCTTCAATACTAATCTGCCTGCCTAAGCACAACTGGAGTTACATTTTCCAACAAGTAACGAGCAATGAGGGGGGCCAAAGGCAGGTGGCACAAAGCCAGCTCCTGAGCTTCACTACTTTTCTTAAGAAGTCAATTTACAAAGATTAAGAACTACTCATCTACACCCTTAAATAAACTCAAAACGACTTTAAGAGACTTCCTGCAACTTCAAATTGGAACACAGACATAATGGGCTGAATCTTGGATTTTTTTTGCTAAATGTCAATTGTATCAACTTTTTCTGGAATGATTTTGTCATGAGGCCAAGTGAAATTTCTTGCTGTAACTAACCAAACTTGCTTAATGAACTGCCACCCATCCCTTTTGGCACCCCCTTCATCTGATTCTATCCCCACCTTACAATGCACCATTCCCAGAACAACATACTGCCTTGACAGAGGGCTGCTGCCAGCAAGGCAAGTTGCCTGGTTGCCTTACTGTGTTAATTGGAATGGGAAAGCAAGGCATGAATGCTCCAAGTGGGTGTGAAGTGAGCAAGCAAGCAGCCCCGAGATGCAGCCCAGTCCAATCCATGTTGATGAAACAAAGTAAACAGTGAGAGTCACTGGGTTGGATTTGTCTGGTTTTTTGTGCTAAGGACATACCTGAGCAATTTTACACAATGGTGGATAGATGCCAGGTAGTTTAGCTGCACTGGAACAGCTTGACGAAGGGCGCAGCTAGTTCGAGTGCAGTTTTTCTGCTTTATTGCCAGAATACTCGAACAGCCCATAACAGCCAACAGACATTAGAAAGGATATCAACATTTCAGCAGATACACAAGTTAAAAGCGACAACTTTTCAACCATTTATTACCTTAAAAGATTTGCATCAGCAAGAAGCATATGCATATAACGTTCAAGTGAATGCTCATTGAGTGCAGATCGAAGCCAGGCTCTGCCCCGTCCTATATCTGTAGTGATATTCTTTAAAGAGTAGTATCTTTGCAGTTCATGTTTATTCAGATGTTCTTTCACATAATACCAAAACACAGGGTCTGAAAAGAAAAGCACATTTATTTTTAAACCACTTTGTGATAAATAAAAGATGAAAAATTAACTATGCCTACTATAATGCATGATGATTGGCTTTTCTCTTTCAGTGTACTATGAAAGAGTGAAGAGTTTTGCTAAAAACAAATGATGCACTTTGTTTTGATCCATAAGAGCTACCTCCAGCGCAAACCAGTTTCAATAAGGATGCTAATGCCCTGAATGCATGCCTAGGAAATCTACTACCTCAAATCCGAGATCGTTATTTCCACAGCAATATCAGACAGAGCCGACAGGTTCCCAGGCTTCTGTGGATTTTGTCTTTACATAAGCTTGACTGACCATTCCACTGGAATTTGAAATTTCAATTTTCTGTGCTCTGTTCAAACTTTGAAAATATGTCTCAACCTATCTTATTTCAACCATGTAGTCAGTTTGAAGCCAAATAAAGATATGTTAAGGTCAGAAAAACTCTATGGAAGGACAACAGCAAACCATCTAGGATTAATATTGCAATAAATCAAATTTACATTGACATTTTAAGCAACAGACAGAAACGTTTCAAATTTTCTATCATTCCAAGGAGGTATATATTACGGGGTCAGAATTTTTTAATGCTGTAACTGTCCATTAAATGTGCCTAAAAATGTGAGAAAATAAGTGTTTGTAGATTACTTCACATTCTTATTCTGTTTCATAGAAAGGATAACATTGTTGATGACAAGGACATTATACGATAAAATGTAAAAAGTATTAAAAGAAAGAGACAAAAAACCCAAAAGAACGGCGGATGCTGGAAATTTGAAACAGAAACAGAAATTGCTGGGAAGTCTTAGCAGGTATGGCAGAACAGTTCTGAAGGAGGGTCACTGGACCCGAAACATTAGCTCTGATTTCTTTCTACAGGGGCTGCTGGACCTGCTGGGATTTTCCAACAATTTCCGTTTTTGTTAAAAGAAAACGATTTGCCTTTATACAAGCACTTTTCACACTCTTAGGATATCCCAAAGTACTTCTGCACATTTGGCAAAGTCTAACATTCTGTAATGTTCTACATTCAAAATTTTAAAATCTTTCACACACAATATTCACAAAACTAGATCTCTCATGACAATGCAAATGATAATCTAGGACTCGAGGACTAAGTATGAATTTTGATGCTTACAATGACTTAAATGCAGCATAAATCTAAAATGTTTTGACCAGTGAGGTAACAGTCACTGCCTGAAGGTAAAGGCATTCTTAATGTTCTCTAATGCTCAAAGTAACAGCCTCTCAGTTTATAAATTTAGTACTTGTAAACGTACTTATTTGCTACTTCACACAATTTTCTTTGGCTGCAGGTAATACTGTTCCCTTTTCTTAACTTCATTGCTAGTCATCCATTTCAAAAAATATTATCGGAAATCACACGAACCCAGGTTATAGTCTGACAGGTTTATTTGAAATCACATGCTTTCGGAGTGCTGCTCCTTCGTCAGGTGAAGTCTCGTTGATGAAGGAGCAGTGCCCCAAAAGCTTGTGATTTCAAATAAATCTGAGAATATAACCTGGTGTCATGTGACTTCTGACTTTGTCCACCCCGATCCAACACTGGCACCTCCCACAAAAAAGATAGTTGTTAAACTCTAACTATGGTGCTTACGGTATCTTAAATCACAGATACTTGATTAATATGTTTATTGTTCTTAGAAACTTCTGTCCGAGAGTTAGTTAAAATGAAAAAATATCCCACCCACTTCCAAAGGAAAGTCTTTTCTTGTCATGTCTTCAATGATCAATGGCTGATCAAATGGTAATTTGCTATGGTCCAGGCATGGCTGACTGCTTCCAATCACAACCTCTGCTCAATGTAAACATCAGTCCTCCTCAGCAACATCAAAAAGATCTCCATTCATAACATGAGCAATGTTTAATCTCAGTAAAAAGCATAAACTGTCTGGAAAATTCGAACAAGGACATCATTTTCTTTTTCACGCCAACACTTTGTCATTAGTTTCAGCTTCTACAGTGTAATTCCAGAGAAACAGGATGAAATCCAAAAGCCCAATGTACATTTGTTACCCTTTATCTCTCTCTCACTCACACACAAATACAAAGATAAATGCGAATAAATGAAAACAGCAACTTGAGGAAAATCTCAACATTTGTGCAGAGAGAAAAAGAGACAGTTGAAGTTTTGAGTCCAATATGACTTCCTCAAAACCAAAAGAATAACCATATTGGACTTGAAACGTTAACTCTGTTTCTTTCTCCAAAATAAAAAAAGAACCTGTTCTCATGCATGGAAATTCCAGTATACACGAGAAATTTGCAATGCATAAGAAATTCCAGAATGAAAGGATGACCTGTTTGATGAATTTCATTGTTACATTTGGTGGTTCTTCTCAAATTTATGCCGTCACATTGCATTATTTCTAGTAATATATACTGATGCAGAAAATTAGTAGACAAGCATTGAATAACGTTTTGGGGCAATTCTTTAGTTTGATGGTAATTGTTTCTTCACCAATGTTGGCTTTCAGAATAAACAGAAGAATCAGCGCTCAGCAGTTACCTAATTAACTATTTTTCCATTGATGGTTATCCACTGAATAAATCTGCTTCATATTTGCTAACATTTACCTTTTTTCAGTAATGCAATCACAGAACACCGGCTTCTCATTCATAGCATCACAGAATCCATACAGTCTGGAAGCAGGCCATTCAGCCCATTAAGTCCACACCAACCTTGCAAAGAGCAGCCCACCCTCCCGACCCTATCCCTGTAACCCTACGTTTCCCATGGCTAACCAATCCAGCCTGCACATCCTGGACACTATGGGCAATTTAGAATGGCCAATCCGCCTAGCCTGCACATCTTTGGACTGTGGAATGAAAGCAGGGCACCCGGAGGAAACACACGCAAATATAGGGAGAATATGCCAACTCCACACAGACAGTCGCCAGAGGATGGACTTGAACCTGGATCCCTGGCGCTGTGAGGTAGCAGTGCTAACCACTAAGTCAGTGTGGTGCCCACTGGTTGTGAAACTTTCATATATTCCCTAGTGATGATGTACAGTCTCTAAATGCAAGTTGTTCATTTCTAATTTAATCAATAATACCTCATTTCAGCAAACTGGTACTTTTTTTGCCTAGCATGTCAGGACAAACCCTAAAGTCTGACAGTTTCAGATGCAAAATGACAAATACATGCCAGATGCACAAATCACCTATTCAAGAAATGAGTTAAATGATAGCACTGATTCCTGTCACATCATATCGTACATACACCACTTCCTTTCATTTGTTGAAGGCAGGTTACTCATGGCTCAACAAATGCCCACCCAGCCACTCACCAATTTTCATTCCTGCATTCACTGGAAGGAGAAATGTAGAACTGGGAGTAAAAAAAAAATCTATATTTCTACCCTCGTCCCAACCCAAAAATATGCATCGTAACTGATTTCAGTTCTCATTTTTGGTTTAAATTTCCTTACTCTGAAACTGTACTCTATTTTTTGCCCATGATGCAATGTTTTTAAAACCAAAAATGTACAGTCTCAAACTCCATGAATTTGTAGCACCCTCAAAACCTCTTGAAAACTGACAAGGCAATCATTCATTGCCTACCCTTGATTGCTCTAAACAGCCCACTTCACTTCATTCACTGCAAATGGACATTCTTTTGGGCACAGTGTACTCAACCAACATTTTCAGAGAACCTAAAAGACTGAAGAATTTTCATGTTGTAATTTGGAGGCACAAACTAACGCAGAAAAAGAGGAAGCAGTGTCACTGCAACTTACTTCTCTTTGAATCAGTAACAATTAAACATTTTGAGAATCTAGGCATACCTAATTGAAAAGGAGTTTTCGCTCATTTGAAAACTAGACTGCACATAGAACTGCAGCTTTCATGTGCCAATTATGGAACAGACAAATCTAGCAGAAATAAAACCTGACTTTTGTTACAATTATGAGGTTCAGCAGATGATTACATTTTGGGACCATGGCTTTAAATTGCGGGTAGATGAAGACAGTCATGTGACCTATTCTGCAGTCTACCTGACAGTAATCATGCATGGTTTGATTATGAGGGATTATTGGAGGTTTCATATTATTTTAATTTGAAGATGATGCAAAGTATTTACAATTGGAGACGGTGGCCATCGTCTCGGAGTTTACCACAACTAGAATCTGTGACACCAACGTCCCAGGAATGTGTTAGCAAATTGTTCTCAATGACACTAAGCTATCCAGTTACTCCTAAAAGCATTATGACCTAAAAATCGCCAATCAGTATTTCTACATAGATTAGCTACCTAATTAGAGATAGTAGGAACTGGAGTCTGAGATAACAAGGTGTGGGGCTGGATGAACACAGCAGGCCAGGCAGCATCAGAGGAGCAGGAAAGCTGACATTTTGGGTCTGGACCCTTCTTCAGAAAAGACAGTCACTCTGAATTACTACTGGGAAGAACGGAAATGTGGAAACTCATTGGAAGCTGGGAGCAATTATTTAACTTTGGTAAAGGACTATCAAACCATGCATTGGATGAAAACTATATAATAGGAATGTCACTTTCCATAGGTCAAGCATAAACTGTCTACAAAAAGAAAGCAGTACTTATTTAGAACATTTTGTTTTAATTATATGTTAAAGTAAATATTTTAGGACACCAAATCTTTACTGGCTATTCTTTCTACTAATAAATACTAAATATTATTGCTCTCTACAAGGATTACAAAACCATGCATATATTCAAATCAGAAATGTGATGCATAATCCAGAAATTTTAATATTCTTGCAGATTTTATTTTTCCATATTTATTATCAGAAAGTTACTTCAAACAAAATCAATTTTCATAAAATTCCAAAGGCACTCAATGGCCATGTGACATTATGGACTTTGTCATAACTTTTCACGTCACGTTAAATAAACTGTGAAAATAATGGAAGTTCCTTCTTCAACCACTGCCATAGAAACTGGTGACTTGGCCAGAGGTGAAACTGTTTCTTA